TATATCGAGATTCGGAAGAACTGGGTTTTTTTACATTATTTTAATGTAAAATTTATATTTTAATATAAATTTTTTATTCCTACAGCACCATTCATATTATTTTGATACAAATTTATCACACGTACCTACAACAGCCATCGTTTACATTATTTTATTTAAAACTTTTTACACATTATTTTATGAGTAATGATCCTATGAGACCCTCTCACACCCATGTGTGTAGGATCCCAAAGGATCACCATTAAATTTGGCACAATTTGGAATATATTTCTAAAAAAAATCAAGTTCGACACCCATGTGATAACTTTTATAGAGATTTGTGCCAAATTTAATGGTGATCCTTTAAGGTCCTACATACATGGGTGTAGGAGGGTCTCATACGATCATTACTCTTATTTTATTACCTACAACCACTATAAGTACCTACCAACGACCATAATGAGCATGCAACTTTAAATTAAAGGCTAAGAGATAGAGTTTTATATAGCTATTTCAGCCTTTAATCGTTGGATGTGGGACTATTCGTGCTTGCTTTCAAGTACAATGGAAGACTTATTTGGACCTCATTTATAAGAGTGTGGTTTAACAATCCATTTAAGGCGCACCTCCAAATTTCATTGTAGCATATAATTTTGATATAAAAATATTATTAAGATTATCTCAAAATCTATTTTCTAATTATAAAATTTTAAATTAAGAAAATGATTAAAATCAAATAGATCTATAAACATATGAAAATCTTGAAAGTAGACGGTCTAGATAATGTGTTGTAAGATGCATCACTTTGGGGACTCAAAATCCTTTTTTTTTATTAGTCATACATCTCAACATTGAGATGATCAATTAGAGAGTTTGTCAATACTAAAACAACATTTTCCGATAGATTTTTGGGGTGCATCTGTAGTTCTACATTTTAAGGTTGCAACCTTATATCAAAATTTTCCTTTTTGGGTATAAAGGCTTAGTTGAACTAAGGCAACTAATTTCTTTTAGAAACTAAAACAACCGTATTTTTAAATATTCATAATGATTTTTTAAAAAAATATTTTGAGACAAAATTTGCTAATTTGGCTGATTCTCCTAATTTATTATTAAATTTTTAGATTTTAAAATTAGATGATATTATAAGACAAATTTCAAATTCATTTTTATTTGTATAGTAAAATAATGATAAAATAATAAAATACATACCTAATAATTCTAATTTTAATGTATAATATTGTCTTTAGTTAGATTTTAATAAATATTTGATAAGAAACTTCATATAGGGAATGAAAATCTCAATATTCACATATTGATAAAAAAATGAAAGTTAATAATGTAATGCTCCAATTTTTTATTGGATTATTAAAAAACATTTATAATGGATTTTCATAATTTTTTTGAGATTTTTTTTAAGACTTAATCTGTCTGATTCGATTAACTCCTAATCCGGACTGTCGATTCATTGATCCGGATGGGTTTTTAGGGTCAAGTCGAACTGGGACTTGGCCGGTTCGACTCGAGAATCGACGCCCTCATTTCGGTTTTAGCAAAATATACGAAACCACCCGTGTCTAGAGAGAATCGGGTGGTTTTAAACAGTGAACCGCGACACCACAACCGCGACATCACACACATGTACACGTGATTTTGTGTGTCTAGAGAGATGTCTGCACAGAAGACATCACATGCGACGGAAGACATCACATGCGTGTACACGTGATTTTGTGTGTCTAGAGAGAATCGAACGGTTTTAAACAGTGAATCACTTGATGACATCATAAACAGGCAGTTCTGATGTCATCGTAGTGCACCGCTCGATGACATCATACCGCTCGATGGCATCAGAAATTGGAACCAGTGAGCCGCCCGATGATATCATAAGACATCACACATGACGGAAGACATCACACATGTGTACACGTGATTTTGTGTGTCTAGAGAGAACCGAACGGTTTTAAATAGTGAACCGCCCGATGACATCATAAACCGGTAGTTCTGATGTCACCGTAGTGAACCGCTCGATGACATCATAAATTGGAACCAATGACATCATAAATCGACAGTTCTGACGTCACCGCAGTGAACCGCTCGATGACATCATAAATTGGAACCAGTGAACCGCCCGATGACATAAACCGGCAGTTCTGACGTCACTGTAGTGAACCCCCCCGATAACATCATAAACCGACAGTTCTGACGTCACCGCAGTGAACCCCTCGATGACATCATAAACCGGCAGTTCTGACATCATCGTAGTGAACCGCTCGATGACATCATAAATTGGAACCAATGAACCGTCCGATGATATCATAAGACATCACAAGCAACGGAAGATGGCGACGGAATACATCACACGTGTGTACACACTGCTTGATGACATCATAAATTGGAACCAGTGAACCGCCTGATATCAGCAGTTCTGACGTCACTGCAGTGAACTGCCCGATGACATCATAAACTGACAGTTTTGACGTCACTGCATCGAATCGCTCGTTGACATCATAAATTGGAACCAATGAACCGCCCGATGATATCATAAGAACTGCCGTCACCGCAGTGAACTGCTCAATGACATCATAAATTGGAACTAGTGAACCACCCGATGATATCATAAGACATCACATGCGACGGAAGACATCACACACGTGTAGACACCGCTCGATGACATCATAAATTGGAACCAGTGAACCGTCAGATGATATCATAAGACATCACACGCGACAGAAGACATCACACACGTGTACACGTGATGGAAGACATGCAACGGAAGACATCACATGCGTGTACACGTGATTTTGTGTGTCTAAAGAGAACTGATCGATTTTAAATAGTGAACCTCCTGATGACATCATAAACCCGTCTGATGAAATAAATTGGAACCAGTGAATCGTTCAATGACATCATAAACCAGCAGTTCTAACGACACCGTAGTGAACTGCTCGATGACATCATAAATCGCAACCGGCGGTTCTGACGTCACCGCTTCCCACCCGATGACATCATAAGACATCACACGTGACGGAAGACATCACACGCGTGTACACGTGACGGAAGACATGCGACAGCAGAAATCACATGCGTGTACATGTGATTTTGTGTGTCTAGAGAGAATCGATCGGTTTTAAATAGTGAATCGCCCGATGACATCATAAACCCGCCCGATCACATCATAAACCTGTAGTTCTAATGGGCAGTTCGATGAAATAAATTGGAACCAGTGAACCGCCCAATGACATCATAAACCGACAGTTCTAACGTCACTACAGTGAACCGCTCGAAGACATCATAAATCGCAACCGACTGTTCTGACGTCACCGCTCCCCACCCGATAACATCATAAACCGGCAGTTCTGACGTCACCACAGTGAACTGCTCGATGACATCATGCCGCTCGATGACATCATGCCGCTCGATGACATCATAAATCGCAACCGGCGGTTCTGACGTCACTGCTCCGAAATCACGCGTGTACATGTGCAACAAAATCACGTGGTACATATCACACGTAGGGTTGCCTCACTATTTTCGTCCGCATGCTTCATATCATATTACATAATTATTTATATAACAAAGTTGAATACCCATCATTTGATGTGGGATAATTCCCAAACATTATTAAATGAAGATGAAATTTAAATATATTCTATTAATAGGCAATATATAATTACATGTGGTGAGGAGGTGTGAAGGTTATGACTTTTGCTCTTTTCTTAGACCTCCCAAGGTCGAATTCCCTTGAGCATTATATATTATATTATATTATATAATGGTATAATTATTTTTGTTGTAAATAATATAAAAGGCATAAAAAAATAAAAAATAAAAAGTTTATTCTATTTGAAATCTTTCTCTTTCTACTAACAATCTCTTTCACTAAATTTATTATAGAAACCTAAAAACTTAAATGCTAAAAAATTTAAAACCAAATTTATTATAGAAAATTAAAAAATTAAATTTTGACAAATTAAAGTGTTATTTCTAAAATCTGTATGCATTTTATTAAGTTACATTGATAATCAAATATTTTATTTTATTTATTAATTTTTACATTATAAATCATGTAATGTACTATTTTTCTTATAGTTGTCAATAATACATTTTAAATTAGATAATATTATAAAATATTTTGAATTTGTTATTATTTGTATAATAAAATAATTATTAAATGTAAACTAATAATTATAATTTTAGTATATAATATTATAATTAGTTAGCTTGTAATAATTTTGGATTATAGTTAGTTAGGTTATAATAATTGGGTTTTTTTTAAAACAGATTAGGGTTTTTCGTCAAAACGAGATTTTAGTAGCCATTCTTTCATTGATTTAGTCTATTCTTTATAATAGTCCATATATAATTATATATTTTATCCATGATAATTCTATGATTTTACTTTTATGAGATGTAAATTTAATGATTAACATAAGTTTATATAGAAAAAAAACATTTTAATATTTACAAATTGATGAAAAAATAAAAGTTAATAATGTAGTACCCTCATTTCTTATTAGATTCTTAAAAAAAATATTTATAATAAATTTTAATAAATTTTTTGAAATCTTTTTAAAATTTAATCCGACTGATTCGATCAATTTTCGATTCGAATCTCCAATCTATTGATCCAAATAGATTTTTGGAGTGCTGCATCTAGAGCATTTATCCGTTTTTTAAACCACCGCATGCAACGGATAGTTAACTCAACACAAAACGAAAACATATTTCTTATAATTACCCTTAAATACAAGACATTTTAAATTTGAAAAGCAACAAAATCTCCATCATTATCTCGTGCAGGAAACTGTGTCCTCCTTAATAATAGAGTACGGAGAACTGTGCATGCGCCGTTATTATCTGCAACACGACCCCAAACGGCTATATCAAGCTCTGCCTTCCTTACTACACTGACTTTCGGTGCCCTTTTTTTCCTCTCTCTCTAACTTTCTCTCTCTGTAATGCTCTCTCTCTCTCTAACTTCTCTCCCTCTCCAACTTTCTCTCTCTGTAATGCTCTCTCTCTCTAACTTCTCTCCCTCTCCAACTTTCTTTCTCTCTGCAATGCTTTTTCTCTTCACTAGGGTTTTTTTCTCTAACCTGTCCTCTCTACCGACAGTCCTCAGTTTGTTTCTAGTCTTGTACGTCCTCTGTAGTGCCCTCTCCTTTTTTTTAATGGCTGCCTCTTCAATTTGAGTTCTGCACAAACACCGTGGAAATATAACTCCTGAGATTCGTAGGGGGCTTACACAGAAGAAAAGTGTGTTTCATCTTTCAAACTCTCTGTCCTCTCTCTCTTCAGAAGTTTGACTGTACTTTGAAGACAGATGGTTTGTGATGTCTCCTTCTTTTGGTGTGTGTACTCTCTACTCGTTCACGTTCACGTTCTGCAACTTCTCTCTTAGTTGCTGCAATGTCTCCTCTCTCTACCTGTTCAAGGCTTGATAACCAGGAGAAGGCCATGGTTGGAACTCTTAGGTCTAAAATGGCAGTAGATTTTTAAGCCTTCTTTGACAGAGAAACCGGAAGCTGGAACCATGGCGACAACTGTTGTTAGAAAGCAAGTATTGATTGAACAGCAAGAGAAATCTCACTTGGGTGGCCAAATTGAAAGAAGACGGGTTAAAACCTCTGGTACTAACATCCACAGGGAGTGTATGGAAGAATCAGTTCCAGACCGTGTACAAAAAGCAAAGTTGAGGGTAAACAGAGCACGTGCCTCTAACTCGGTTCTCGAATCACAGTCGAGAGCAAAGGTTTCAAATAAGAGGACCATACTTCTATCTGAGCTGTCTCCTGTGAAAAAACAGAGAGTTCTAAGTGAAAGTAATGAAAAAAAACAGAGAGTTCTCAGTGAAAGAAATGAAGGCAGTAAATATCAAGGGAGAGTTCTTCATGGCTCTGGCAAAATGGCCCATCGTCATGTTTGCTGTGATATATATTCAAGGCTAGAACCAATACCATGGGGTATTGAGGGCGAAACGGACTTGGGTTTACCTCAAATGGCAATTAAACCACGAATTTCTCTCAGTGAGAGGATACCAACCATAGAGGAGGTGCGGAAAACCTTAAGACTGTATCAATGGGCATACAGGAAGTTTTCTCAAGATACAGAAGGAAATATTTTCAGAGGAGAGAGAAACCCACCAAATAGGCCGGAGTTATGGGCAATGGAATTTCTTAGAGAGAAAAACAAGTTTGTGAACACTGGAGATCCCATACTTGGAAAAGTGCCTGGAATCGAAGTGGGAGATGAGTTTCAGTTCAGGGCTGAACTCATTGTTGTGGGGCTTCATAGACAACGCCAAGCCGGCATTGACTGCATGCGTAAAAATGGCACACTTCTAGCTACTAGCGTTGTGATTTCGGGAGGCTATGCTGATAACGACGACCAGGGAGATGTGATTATATATTCAGGGCATGGAGATAATGCCTCTTATGTGGTTAAAGGAAAGCCTAAGGACCAGAAGCTAGAGAGAGGAAACCTTGCTTTGCTTAACAGCAAAAGGTTCAAGACCCCTGTTAGAGTGATTAGAGGATTCAAGAAGTCTAAGAAATGTCCATTGGCTTTGGGCATCCAAGGTTTTGTTAATGGAAGGAAACCCCTAATGTATACCTATGATGGTCTGTATCAAGTGGAGAGCCACTTCATAAAGAGAGGATCACATGGGTGTGATGTTTTCCAGTTCATTTTGAGGAGACAACCAAACCAGCCAGAGCTTGTCTTGAACCCCTTCAAGCAGGTTGATAAATTTAGGAGGCTTGCAGGTCTTGAGAGGGTCATTGTTAGAGATGTTTCCAAGAGAATGGAGACAAAACCCATTTGCGTGGTGAATAACATCAACAGGGATGCTCCTTCGCAATTTGAATACATAAAGAAAATGATCTATCCTAAGATTTACAGCCCCTCTCCTCATGAGGGGTGTTCTTGTATTGGCAGATGCTCCGAAATTGCAAATTGCTCTTGTGCTATCAAGAATGGGAAAGAGTTCCCTTACTCTAATGGTTGTCTTGTGGAATCGAAGCCATTGGTGTATGAATGTGGTCCCTCTTGCACGTGCCATCCATCGTGTGGCAACAGAGTAAGCCAAGGTGGTATTAAATTTGAATTGCAGCTGTTTAAAACTAAACTGAAAGGGTGGGGTGTGAGGCCCTTGGGTTCAATTCCATCTGGTAGTTTTATTTGTGAATACCTTGGGGAGATTCTTACTAGGAAAATGGTGGAGAAACGAGTTGGGCCCAATGAATATTTCTTTGATATTGGGGTCAACTTCACCGATAAGTCCTTTAAAGATACTCTTTCATTTCTTGTTCCTGAATCTGAACCCACTGAAGCTTGTGATACTGTGGAGATCAAGGGTTTCACCATTGATGCATCAATAAATGGAAATGTCGCGAGGTTTATCAATCAAAGTTGCTCACCAAACCTTTATGCACAAAGTGTTCTTTACGATCATGGCGATAAGGCAGTGCCTCATATAATGCTGTTTGCTGGAGAGAACATCCGTCCCTTCGAGGAGCTTACTATTTACTATAAATTTGCTTTGAATCATGTTTGTGATAACAACAGCAATCGAAAGAAGAAAAAATGCCATTGTGGTTCTTCTGAGTGCACTGGATGACTCTCTTGAATTAAATGTGTATAGGTGCCTTTCTATCTTGAACTAAAATTTTGTATAGTTGAGTTAGCTTGATATTTGCCCATTTTTTGTTCTCTGTTTGTAATGGGCGCATTCAGGTAGCTTGATATGTGCCCACTTTATGTTCTTTGTTTGTAATGGGCGGATTCCATGCTTTTACTCAAGAAGATAGTTTTACTCAAGATAGTTTCTTTTGATTGTTTTGTCTTTGTAACTTTTCTTTTGATCGTTGTCTTTGTGACTCTCACTTCTAAAATACATTTTCATTTATGGACTGATTCAGTGACTCTCACTTCTAAAATACATTTTCATTTATGGACTGATTCAATGTTATGCGTTGGAAATTTTCTTCACTTTGTCTTGCCTTTAAGATTTTACTTGCATATATATTGCACATGCAACCCAACCCCAAATAGTTGGGATGAGGCTTGGATAATGACGATGATGACATGTATTGCACATGTAACTCTTTGGAAGCTTTTCTTATTTTTCAGTTTGGGTAGAAAAACCTATGAAATCATTGTGAGACTTCTTACCATTGTGGTTTGTGGTACCTATGATCTCTGAGGACTGAGGAGACATCATGTGTCCCCTGGATTCATTTGAATTTTTTTTAGAAAGGGCCTGCAATTTGCAGCTTTTCTTTTTATGATTCCATCGAGTGTTTCCGGTTGATTTAAAATAGTCATGTTCTTGAATGTTGATGGAGAAAACACCATGACTGAATCCAAAGGATTAATAAGCATAATGAGAAAAGCTTGATTGGTGTATTAAACGCCCTGTTTGTCATTTCGTGAACTAAGCTAATGCTTATGCACAGGGCAGTCAACAAAGACAATTATTAACATCTTTTGTGATACACATATACAATGTGAATGATATTATTCAATGGTAAAGGTGCTTCAATCTCTTTGACTTCTCTCTTGGATCATGTGGTGTGGGTTTGACCATGCTTTGGCATGCGCATGTGTATGTGGTATGTGGTGTGGGCTTGTGCTTATGACGGCTGAGCTAAATTTACATCTCTATACAAATATTATCGTTGATTCTTATGGAGTGATATACATGATTGGACATTCAAACCTGTACAATATAGGGGAACTCAAACCAGTATGTATTTTTGATAATCCGGCCTATGCATGTTTTTGGTCGTGTAGCAAAAAAAATGGGTGTGAATCGCAGACACTGTAACATATCCTTGGACATCTTTGTATCTTGCACTTGGACTTCTACTCAAGTTCGTTGCTATGTGGTAGACTCTTGCTCGTGTTCATTATTTGTGTTTAAAACACTTCACATATCTAATGAGCCTTGTGCTGTGCATATTCATTGCCTCTGGGCTCTTCTTGATGTGCCATTTTTGTGTGCTAGAAACTTTATCTGCCAATTACATTTATTTAGCATTTGTTTCAATTGAGAAAATTGGCCCAACCTATTTTCATGTAAGTGCCATCTTGCTGTTTCATGCAGCAATCACCTTGCAAATGTGTTTTCAAGGTGTGATTCAGCTATGAAAATGTTTTAAATAACATGGCACCCCACACCTGAGGTTAAGGGGGAGGTGTATCATAGACAGCCTGTTCATGGTACACGGTGGACAGCCGGTCATCTGCCATCCTATCTCGATGGCAGAAGGTAGTGATCAACTATACCAAGGTGAATGTCCTCCATGGAAACTCTGTTTGAATTCTTTTGTTCGTCATTGAGAATGGATAGTTGACGCCCAGCAGCCCAGCCATGCAATAAACCAGGCACTATAGTAATTTCCCTTGGTTAAAGTTCCCCATAACTTATAATCATGTCAAGGAGAGCATACATCTTGAGATGGATGAGTTCCCTCCATTGGCTAAGGTATGGGCGAGTAGGAAGTCCCTTTAAATGTGCACTTATTTGTCACCAGGAATCACAAGGGAGAAGAAAGATGAAAGAGAAGTAAAGCCCTCAACTCTCAAGGATGGAAACTTTCTTATAAAATCCTAGGATTGACATTTTTTTCTTGCTGAGAAACAATCTGTGACTGAATTCTGATATTCATTCAGCACAACAGCTTAAGGGTTGGAGTTGGAATTTTTCTCATCGTTATAGGAAATTTTCTGGGGCTTCTTTCTTATGAGCGAAGTGAAAAAGACGAAAAGTGTAAAACCTGATATCTAACCCTGTGGCAGAAATTTTACTATTATGCCTCATGTTACAGACAGAATCAGTAAAACTGGTCATCTCATCTGTTTATGACTAATATGAACCACTTCCCAAATCTCCAAATATCAAACTCCATTTTGAATTTTTCTGAGTGGGAAATGGAAGGTGGTCGGTATAATAGGAACATCCCAGTCCTTTGCCATCTGATTGATTCAAGCCAGTTTTGAATGTAGTGCTCTGCATGCAAGCCACACCTTAATGCCGTCACCTCTGCCATAATACTCAGTTGATTCACATCGCAATTGCCAGATCTCAGAAAATGCTCAAGTTCAGTTATGTAGTTGTCAAACATGCACTTTAAACACTTGTATCCTAAGAATTTTGGTATTCTCCCAGAAAATGCTGATTCCTAAGAGTCTATCAACTTGAATGCCTTCTTTTTCTGATCAGTAACTCTAATCTTGATACTATCAAGTTACAACAAGTAATTTGTGATGTATTTATGGGATTGTATACTATGAGAGCATTTATTTTTGGGACAGAGAGGTCACAATCATTTTTAGCTATTCGATGTGAGATCCAATAGATGAAAGTGTTTTACAACATTTGAGAAATTTTATTTTAAACTTTGTGACCAAACAATGACACATCCTTAACTACCCGATTTCAAATCTAACGGTCAATGATGATTGTGACATCACTGTATCAAAAGTAACTGGTCTCATTGTATACATATTCTTTATTTATTGTTACATTCATATTTGTTGTTGCATTCCCCTATAGCACATATCCCACACTCTTAGGATTCACCCAGTTGTAAAAATTCACAATGTTTAAAAAAACGGACTGCTCGGTGCCTAGGCGTCTAAAAACAATTTTCTACACGCCTTGACCTGGGCACCCCAACACGGTCGGCTGTACTTAGGTGGCCACCTAGGGCCCAGTTCTGGGTGGGGGCTTAGCACAGTTTACAAATTTTTTTTTTTAACTTCGCCCAAAAGGGAAAAAGGGGTCATTTTGACCCCCAAGTTTGTATAAAAGAAGTTTAGGGGTTTATTTTTCAACCTCAAACTGAAAAAAAACAAGAAACCCTCAATCTTAAATTTATTTATGAGAATCTAAAGCAATTGCTGAGAATCGAAAGTACTTTTTGTGGATTGAAAAAGTTTGTTTTTTTGATTGAAATTATTTTTAGGGTGCTATTGCTGGTCTTAAAAGACTTTTAAGTTGATTCGTAGCTCGACTGAGATAACCAATATCGAAAGATCAGAGATTGGGTAGAAAATGTCAGTCTGTAATCTTTATTTGAGATTTATTTTTTCAATGTGAGATGTCTTTTGCGAGATCTATTAGGGGTGGAGATCCGGGATGTAAATATTGTGTTAACCCGGATAAGAATGACGAAAATAAAATTATGTACAATTTCTGTAGACATGTTTCTAATGCCATCATAAATAGATTTAAGAAACATCTTGCCGGTATTAAAGGTGATGTCGCCCCCATGTAAGAAAGTTTCAAATCTTGTAAAGAAAGAAATTTTAGAGTACATTGAAGCTGAAAAGAGTAAAAAGCTGCAAAAAAAAAGGATATAGCAGAAATAAAGTTAGGGGTTCATATTTTTTTATGATAATATTGAAATTGAAGAAGATGATGATGAAGAGTGGGAAGAAGATGTAGCCATGGTTGGTACTCAGAGCTCTAAGACCAAGAGGGCTTTTGGGTCTAAAAAGGCTCGTACGAGAGGGCTTATAGATAGTTTTTTTACACCTAACCCTGAAATAGCAATTGTAAAAGGCAAGGGAAATGGGAAAAAACAGGTGACAATTGGAAATAGGTTTAAAAAGGAAGATAGAGCCAGGGTGATTCAGTATATTGCTCAATAGTTTTACCATGAGGGCATTTCTTTTGATACTACTAGTTTGAATAGCTTCCATACAATGTTGGAAGCAATTGGGCAATTTGGGCCAGGTTTGAAAGCTCCAACTCCTTATGAGATTGGAGAGCCACTACTGAAGAAAGAAGTCGAGTACACTAATGAATATCTCAAGACTCATAAGGAGGGATGGGCTAAATTTGAGATTTTTTTGATGACAGATATGTGGAGTGATAAGAGGAGGAGTTGGAGTAACATGAATTTATTAATAAATTGTCTCATGGGTACAGTTTTTTTGCTCTCAATAGATGCTTCCAATGATGTTCATGATGCGCATTATATAATTTCTTTCATTGATAAGGGTATTGAGGAGGTTGGGGAGGAACATGTAACGTCACAGATAATGCTGCTCCCAATCTAGCTGCAGGTCATTTGCTTCGACAAAAGAGGCCCTGCATATTTTGTACTCCTTACGCTGCACATTGCGTAGATCTTATGTTTGAGGCAATTGGTGAATTGCCTCATATTAAAGGAATTAATTTTAAGGCCAAAGAGGTTACAATCTTCATATCCACTCAAATACTTACCCTTAGCATGATGCGTAAGTTTACAAAAAAGAGAGAGCTAGTGAGGCCTGGGGTCACTAGATTTGCCATTGCTTAGCTTAGTCTATAGAGCATGTATAAGAAGAGGATCGCATTAAGGTCTATGTTTGCTTCAAAGGAGTGGAGTATGTGTAAGTAGTCTATAGATGCCAATGAAAAGAAGATACGAGGTATTATTCTTTTGAAATATTTTTGGTGTGGGGTGAAGCATGCAATATTAGTATTTCTTCCCTTGGTGAAGGTCTTGCGCTTGGTTGATGCTGATAAGTCCTCCATGGGTTTTATATATGATGTAATGGAAATGGCTAAGAATGAGATTGCAGAGAATTTGGGCAATGATGCAGCGAAGTATGCCCCAATTTGGGAGACTAGATATGATAAATGAGATAGGCAACTCCATAGACCATTACATGCAGCGGGGTACTACTTGAGCCCCAAATTCTTTTATGCAGATGCGGATATTGAGTCAAAAGGGGTAATTATGGATGATTTTAATGAGTGCCTTGAGAAATTAGTTCCTGATCCAAAAATCCAAGATAAGATATCAACTGAAGAGCTAATTTCGTAAAGTGTTCTTTGATGTCATTGGGGAAAGATATGGCATTAAGGCAGAGAAAGAAAGAAAGACGAACCAAGTAATATTCTTTTG